TCAACCACATGGTTTGTATTCACAATGGATAATTACAGTGGGTTAGCAAACAACCATACAGAAATTATAGACCAGTCATCCGGTCCAGTCAATTATCACAGGCAGAGTGTCCAGTTACTTCGCGTACATTATTCCTACTAGATTCATTCATAGGGTCATAATGTCATTAGGTATACAGTAATCACATGCATTTGGGTTCCATAATATCTAGAAATTCAACAGTATCACGATAAAGCGATTTAACCAGAATTCTTGGCAAGATTAGTTCAACATGATAATAAATCAATTCGAAACCATGTAGTGCGTATTATACAAATCTGTATGAACATGCAAGAGGAAGTGAATGCCCAATATGTACCGCTAACCCCTCATCATTATGGATTATCCCCATAACCATTTGTTTCTATCAAAATTCACAGTGTCATGTAGAACAGTTTACATTATAGCCTTCAAATAGGCAATAAAGGATTAATTTACAATATCTGACATTTGCATATCTACACAGGCATATATCAGAAAGATGATTTCTCAATCTTAAATGAGTAACACAGAGGCAGAATTCTAATTTTTTACAGTAACTTATCAGGTTTCCAATCATTTAGATTTGATGTTAAATTAGTTAATGATTATCTATTGTTTTGTGATTATCATATGGATAGACACGTATCATAGACGGAGTTCCTTATGTCATTCGACTAGTCCTTATAAGGAGTCCCAATTACAGATTACAGGTTATACATAAACAGATTACAGATTACAGATTTCAGATTTCATATTACAAATAACAGATTACAGAGGTCAGAGTACAGAGTACAGATTACCGCAGTCAAATTCCGATCACACATAAACAATACTCATTAGACATCATCAATAATTCCATATCAAAAGTCGTCGGTAATTTCCTTAGTTCCCGAAATCCTATTACTTACATACCGTTTCAAGGTTAATAACCAATTACCCAGCATAGCTTATCTATTTAAACCATCAGCAAGAAGTAAATTCATAATTAATTGATTCCTTTCACAATCTTAAGAGGAGTCACTATATGCATGACTTCTTCTTACAATCGGTCCTACTTAACACAATTTCAATTATTACGCAAAACACATCTTATCAAAATATCCAAATACAGTAATTTCTCAAAATCACAGATCTAAACATTGTTATGGTAAGAAAGACATAACTATAGCATAAAGTTAGAATATCACATATAGCATTTCCTTTGGTCTTAGAAATATCCCATACTTAGAGTTCACTCAATTCACTTAAATAGATGCTAAAAAGCCTAATTATATCGTCATCATTTCCCACAGATGACTAACAACCGATAACACACATTTCATCTAATCATTTATATATAAACTGTCTTACCGATCAGCTCAAATCCTTACCACGCTTCTGTAGTGCAATATTGTTGATTTCATCCCATCTGCATGTCTTGTATTGTTCACCAATCTATGTAAGATAAATAGAGGTAATAATAGAATATACAACAGACATAGATCGTAATAATCAGAGTTAGCAAGTAGAACATATACATTTAACGTTGCCATCAATCTTTTCATGTACTTTCAGAATATTCTGCATGATGCCTAAGTCTTTCTAGACATCCTAAAGCTCAATGGATTCGTGTGTGAGATAGTAACTCGTGCTCTGATACCACTTGTCACGCCCCAAACCCGCCGCTATAAGTTTCGGGCATGACTTATTCAGAAACAGACACTTAACCTGATATACGTAATATATGAGGCCTGAACGGAAGCATTAATAATATAAAATAACATAAAACATCATCCATTGAGCTATCACTACCATGCTAGGACCGCAAACATTGCATTAGGTAGATAATATACGGGAGACATACACCTGAGCTTCAATTACAGTTATTCATATTCTTACACAAGTATTACAGAAGAAGGGGCTATATACATTCAATCAAAGGTAAACAACCAAAGTATTAGCCAAAACTTAGTAAGACTTTGCAAAATGCATGGGTTTCATCTTAAGTGCCTGGACACACTGAGGTTGACAAGAGAGGGACAAGCCTTAAGGGTTAGGACTGGCCTCCCGGTTGATTACCTAGAGAAATAGAAAAAATATAGAGTGAGTAAAACTCAGTGAATAATAGCACATAAATAATGTAATGGTTAACTTAAACAGCAAAGTATATCACTGTAGAGGCATATGATGAATTATATTCTGTAGAACGGCCATGGGCCCAATTTCCTTAACAGAGTGGCTTTAAGCCCAGTAATATACAGAACGACCACAGGCCTAATAGATACAGAACAGCCATAGGCCCAGAATTATCAGAACGGACATCGGCCCTGAAATAACAGAACGGTTTATCAGCCCAGAAATAACAGAACGGCTTATCAGCCCAGAAATAATAGAATGGCTTATCAGCCCAGAAATAAGAAATAACAGAATGGCCATCAGCCCAGATCACATATGTATGGATTCAAGAGGTGGCTCGTACGGATTCTAGAGGTGACTCGCATTGCAGCACTTAGTTCCGTACAGCACTTTGTTCCATACCAGAAATAATAGGTCTTATCATGTCATGGCATAGACGGAACAACAACAAAACATAATAACCTCAGATATCATCAGAACAGACTAGTTTCAGAGTTATACAGAGGCACACAGATTCTTCCAATCATTCACATGAGTTAACGTAGTTAGTTTACATTTAGCAGAATACTAATGATAATTATTAGCAATAAGGATAGCGTATCCCACAGATTATACACGTGCCATCACAATACTATTTGTAGGGACAGAACAATTTACCTTAGAACAGTCTTGATTCATCATTGACAAAACAGAATGATTCGGGATACACAAGCATCATTGCTCCACTTGATCATCATGAATCATTAAGGTTAATTTACGGATAACAGAACATTAATAAAATGTCTTTTAACGGTAAGCAAAATGCACTACTATAGTATTATCAAATTATGCTAATCCTCTTTAGCAGATATCTATGTCAGAAGACATATATTGAACCAAACAGATGATAGGAGTTCCTGACAGAACATTCGGGGTATTACGTTCCCATTCAAATGCGAAATCATAGGTAATTTATAGGTTATTGCACATTACCAATAACCGTTAACTGTGGTTGGAATGCAGAATAATTTCAGAGTCATATCAATGTATGCCAAATCTTTCAATGCTTATACCAATTCCCAATCAACATACACGTTAACATAATTGTCCACGGAGAACAAAATGTTAATAACAATAATTATTAACAGTACTAGATGTACATTGATAGTACTATTACTCACAATGATCGGCTCCCGGTAGTAATGGGATGATGTCCTCGTCTCGACCTACAAGCACATTGCACAACACATAATATGAGAGTATACTCGATCCTTTACTTATTCTCTTTGATCATTCAATAAATTAGCCATGGTGGTACCAAGCTCATTATTCTTTAATAAGTTATAATCCATGTCTCAGAAAACAGGAGAAATCGATGGGAAATGGTTTAGGTGAAGAAATGGTACAAAACTAGTTGACAGAAAGTGAACAGTGGTCACTAATTTGGACATAACTATTTCTGTATTTAGCATTTGGGCGTGTGACCCCCGCCATTGGAAACTAGACTTCTGGGGATTGATTTTAGGCTCAAGAATCACTCAAAACGGAGTCCAGATGCAAAAGATATGCTTGTTCAAATTTGGCCGGACAGAGCCGTCTGCGCACATGTGGGGGAACAGTGCCGCACGTGCGGCCCTGGACAGTTTGCAGTTTGAAAATGGCTGAAAAATTGGGACTTCCCATTTTCAAAATCAAACGTCAATTCCATGTAAATCAAAGTCCAAAACCCTTTAATACATAACAAATTTCATATTATTAATCTCCATCAAACATCATAACCTCAAACTATTACTCAATTTCCAAGCACAAGGACACAAGAATATAATATAGCCATAGTTAGGGTTCAAAGCTCAGATCTTCTATATCAATCCTTGATTTCATGTATTTGATGCTTTAAACATAAGGATTCAAGATAGGTGATCATACCTTAGTTCAATCTTTGTCTTCCTTTTAATTCTCCTCCATTTCCTTAAGCCTCCATGGTTGTTCTCCCTTCTCTTTCTTCAATTCCCTTCAAACCCCCATGATTGTTAAGCTTTTCTTGGTCTCTCCTCTCTTTTCTCCCCCACGGTTCTCTTCTCTCTTTTTAGATATTTTGGCTCCCAAAAGATGAGACCAATCACTCACAAACATATCTATATATCTACATAAACACACACACATGGCTTAACACAATAGGGAGAGCCAAACGTGGCCTTACGAATCGCGCAGAATCAAATTTCAATTAAAGTTCCCAAGTGACTCTAAAAATTGCGCTGATCATAAATATGTCCCCTGTTCTGGTTTCTGAAATCTCTAGGGTCTTCAATTTACAGTACAAAGTTAACCACCCAAATATGCATTCAAATTAAATTTCCAATTACTTTTCCCAAATAGCTTTAAAAATTCCCATTAATATATCCAAGTCCTCAATTATGATTTTTGAACCCGTAAAGGTCAGTAATTTAAATTTTAAAGCCGTAGCTCTACAGTTAATTCCTCAATTTGAACACATATCATTAAATTAAAATGCATTAACCCATAAGGCCGTAACGGTAATCTCTAATACGGATTTTGGGGTCGTTACAAGATCAGTCCAAGGAGGGACTTTTTCAGTAGTGGGAGAGGGAGAGACAAAAGCAAAGAGAGAACACACTGTGGAAGAAGAAGAAGAAGAAGAAGAAGAAGAAGAGAGAATACGTTAATACTTTTGGAGATGGTAGTCAATGTTAAAAACTACCTTTACTGGAAGCAACAGAGATAAGAAAATATTATGAACTGAAGCTGTCAATTTATTCAACCTGACTGATTACAGCTTAAATAGAACAAAATAGTAACAAAATCATCCGAATAAAAAGGGACAGATCACTCCATGACTAACAGCCACTACTAAGACTCCTACATACCTGGGATACTCCTATTGAATAGGTAAAACACCACAACTGACTCCTAAACTATAACAAACAAAGACTTATTAAAAAATGACAAAAAACTCAACACCCTCCCTTAAACTGAAAGTTTTCTAACATTTAGTTTAATGGTGATTCGTTGTAGCTGTTCCTCAAATTGAATCTTCTAATGTGCAGACACCAAGTAGCTTCCTCAGCTTAAAAAACATAACTAATTTTAAGGGTTTAGTTAGTATGTCAACTACTTGGTCTTCACTCCTGCAGTAAATGAGATCAATCATTCCATCCTTTGTGAGGTCCCTCAAGAAGTGATACTTGACATCTATGTGCTTGGTTCTTCCATGTAGAACATGATTTTTAGAGAGTTTAATTGCTGAACTGTTATCACAATAAATTGGAGTTGGTGCTTGTTGCTTGAAGTGGAGTTCTTTAAGAATTTTCCTCAACCAGACACTTTGACATGCACATGATGTTGCAGCTACAAACTCAGCCTCGGTAGTTGACAAAGTAACAATTGGCTGCTTTTTTATGACCAAGAAATGGCCCCTGAACCCATCATAAAGACATACCCAGATGTGCTTCTTCTATCATCAGGATCTCCTGCATAATCACTGTCCGTGTAGCCATATAGATGTGATTTTTCTCCCTTCTTGTAGAACAACCCAAGATCAACGGTACCTTGCAAGTACCTAAAAATCCTTTTGGCAGCTAGAAGATGCATCTCTCTTGGGCATTCCATGTACTTGCTAATGAGACTTACAGCATGCATTATATCTGGCCTGGTTGCAGTTAAATACAGTAAACTTCCCACAATTTGCTTGTAAAGCGTGCTGTTAACCTTTCTTCCTTTAGGATCTTTGATGAGCTTTAATCCTATTTCAGTTGGAGTGCTAACGGAATTACAATTCTTCATCCGAAATCTGTCTAAAATATCTCGCACATATTTCTTTTGTGACATAAAAATGCCAACAGGAGATTGGACCACTTCTATGCCCAGAAAGTAATGCATCATTCCAAGATCAGACATATCAAATTCCATCATCATAGACTATTTAAGTTGTTCCAGCATGACCTTATCATTTCCAGTGTAGATCAAATCATCTACATATAAGCATACAATAAAAAGTCTTCCTCCATCTCCAATTTTTGTAAAAAGTGTATGCTCATATGGACATATTTGAAAACCTTCCTTTAAAAAATAAGCTTCTATACGACTATACCAAGCTCTGGGAGCTTGTTTGAGTCCATATAGAGCCTTTTTTAATTTATATACTTTATGCTCATTTCCAAGCTTCGCATAACCAGGAGGTTGGTCAATAAATACCTCTTCTTGCAAGTCTCCATGTAAAAAGGCTGATTTCACGTCCAACTGGAGGATAGGCCATGAGTTTTGTGCTGCCAATGCGATCACTAATCGGATTGTATCATGTCTTGCAACAGGAGCAAAAACTTCTTTGTAATCGATGTCAAATTCTTGCTTATAGCCTTTAGCTACTAAGCGCGCTTTATATTTATTAACCTCACCATTCTCCTTCAACTTTGTTTTGTAAACCCACTTGACTCCAATTGTTTTTTGCCTGTCAATTCCCAAGTATTGTTCCTTTCAATGGCTGCAATTTCATCATCCATGGCCTTTTGCCATTTTAATTCTTTAACAGCATCGTTAAAGGCTATAGGATCACAATATGAAAATAGAGCAAAGTGAATCATCAGATTGGTCAAGTGCACTTACTTCATAATCTTCCATCCATGCTAGTCTTGTCCTAGTGCGTTGAGGACGTGTACTGGTCACTATATCTGGCTGTACACTTGATGATTCATGTCACGACCCCATTCCGCCCCTAGTAGAATGGTGCCGTGATGGCCAATAATCCGAGATTATCGAAGGCCAACTTTCCAAAATTCACACACAATCAGAGTATAAATATATAGGGCTCACAAGTGCGGAAGCAATAATTTAAAATACAAGTGGTCCATAAGAGCAGTGCATAAGTCAAATGGAATGGCATACATCTTTACATAGTTTAACAACTTGAATACAACTAAAGCAAAGTACAAAAATACATATTACATCTTACATAGGGCTTCACACGCCGACATAAACAAAATACATGAAATAGAAGTTAAGAAATAATATCTTCGGATTGCCGACATAAACACTGCCAACATAACATGCATCCAAAACATCTTGCAAAACACACATCTTGGCGTAGCCGACTTCTTGCTTGTTACCTACATATATACATAGGGAGGGTGAGCTTGGATACTCAGTGAATGGTATAAGTAATAAAGGGGTTAAATGAATGATACCCGAGGTCCTTTCAAAACAATACATAGCATAACTTTATCAAAACCATACATAACGTAGCTTAGCTTGACTTGGAACCAAACATCAATCAAACCTTGGTCTTTCAAAACTTGCTTGGGATACTTAACATACGTCAACTTAAAACATGGGGTGATGACATTCCGGGCAAAACAAAAGCATAACCTCGGCATTGAGCACACCCGTTCATAGTTCATTGGTGGCCGATATCTTAACAAGGGTGCTACTTGGGCTTAACGTCCCCTAGCACGAAAGGACGGTGCTACCTAGGCTTAAAGTCCCCTAGCACGAAAGGACTTGTGCCACAAATGCTTAAAGTCCCCTGGCAAGTACGAACTTCCAAAGATTGTGCTACAAATGCTTATAGTCCCCTAGCACGTACGGACTTCCAAAGATTGTGCTACAAATGCTTATAGCCCCCTAGCACGTACGGACTTCCAAAGATTGTGCTACAAATGCTTATAGTCCCCTAGAACATACGGACTATGTTACCTAGGCCTAACGTCCCCTAACACGAAAGGACGGTGTTACTTAGGCTTAACGTCCCCTAACACGAAAGGACGGTTCCAAGAATGTCATCCAAAACAAAGCTTACTTGATACGTAAAAATAGGGGTAATCATTCATGCTTGATCAAATGCTTTTATCAAAACGAAACAAGGCTTTATCAAATCTTTATAACATAACTTTATTAAAAATACCACTCACAGAGTTCTTGGGACATCGGGATCAAGGCAAAGGTCCAAGTCCTATAAACACATGGCAAAGTCTATTGAACATACTTCTCAAAACAAGTCTTACATGCATGCAAATGATCCCGGGAGAACATGCTAGAAAACATCTAGGGAAAAACATGCTGGAAGTCAAAACACTATTTTACATGTCAGGAAGACATGTTGGGTACCAACCTAGTCTTTGCCGAGGTCCCACACCTCCTGGCCGAGGTGTGGCTACCCAGGCTTCGGCGTGCGGCTGCATGCCGAGGTGCGCACAAGACAAACTAAAGGTGTAAGTGATCATGCAAGGTAGGCCAATGCGAGATACGATGCTTGGCCTAAGTGTGTGATCTAGGCAAGAGTGATCTCGGCGACTACACTTAGGGAAGTAAGGTCTGGAGATCTGGGTTTCCACCCGTGAAGAACATGAAGAACATGAACATGAAGATCACGAAGAACATGAATGCTAAAATCATAACTTCTTTATTACAAAATCTGGGTTTTCATGCTATGAGTTCGAAAACATGGTCATGGGTACCCATACTTGAAGATCATATGGAAACAAACACAGAAACATGGATCTTGGCATGAGCTTTCGGATCAAAACATGACCTTTCTTGAAGAACACATGAATACTATTTTCTCTTTCTAAAACCGAACTTCAAAATAATGCATGGCTCACAAATCATATTCAATCATGCAATGCAATAACATGAACATAAAGAACAACATAAGAAGATCAAGAATCTAACCTTAGAACACGGATCTAACGGTTCAATCTCTAGGAATCAAGCTTGGAAATCTACCTCCTCTCAAGAATTCCTCTCCCTTTTCTAGAGCTTCTCTCTCTTCTTCAAAACAAAGATATAGAAAATGATAGGTTTTCTCCCTCTGCCGGCTGACTTAACACACAACTCGGACACGTGGCAACGGATGGTTGGCTCTCCTAAAAAAGGTGATAGATTGACAAGACAAGACTATGACAAAGTGTATCTAACAAGCTACACAGTAAGGCACTCCGGCAAGTGATGACATCGGCTAAGGACAAGGCTTCGGCAACTAAGGCGACAATGACCTCAGCTAGGAAGGACAACACTTGACTAAGCTGTGCCACACCTTGGCCTAGATGTGCCACACCCCGGTCTAGGTCATACCACTCCAGGACAAGATCGCTAAGTGAAAAGGTAACATCTCGGCCTTGGTGATGAACACCTCGGCCTAGATGATGACATATCGGCCAATAGGTTAGGGCAAAGGTGGAGGTCAACCAGAAATGGTTCCAAGATAGTTCTAGGCTTAAGGTGACCTCGGCTTGGAATAACCTAGGCTTAACACGACTTAGGCTTGGCATAGTAGGGAAGGAGCAAAACATGCATACAACACTTAGGCAAATCACATAAGCACAAAACAAGTCAAAATCTGCAACACAAGCTTAACAAAACAAAATCATGCAAATGTACATGAACATGACTAAGACATGAATGTGGGTCATCACAATTCAACAATGTCAACTGCTGGTGGATATTGAGATACTGTCGACTCAGGCTTTGGTGAGTGTTGCTCATTTGCCTCAAGTTGCTGCCTTCTCTCTTCATCTTCATTATCAAAATTTGCTGAAATTTGATGTCCAGTGCCATTATCACCCCATGACCAAGTGTTTTCTTCATCAAAAACAACATCACGAGTGATTACAATTTTCTTGGTGATAGGATTGTACAATTTGTAAGCTTTGGACTGATCACTAACACCAAGAAAAATGCATTTTTTTTGCTTTGTCATCTAGTTTTATCCTCTTCTCATCGGGGATGTGGGCATATGCAATACACCCAAAGATTCGAAAATGATCAACTGCTGGTCTTCGTTCATTCCATGCTTCTTCAGGTGTCATATTTTGAACAACAAGTGTGGGACTTCTGTTCAATATGTGAATGCTCCAATTCACCATTTCGGGCCATAAATTTTTTGAAACTCCACTCCTCTGCAAAAGGCTACGCACCATATTTAAAATTGTGCGATTTTTTCTCTCACACACACTGTTTTGCTGAGGTGTGTAGGCTGTTGTGAGTTGTCTTTTAATGCCATGCATCTCACAAAAGTATACAAAGTCTTGTGAGTTATATTCTCCACCACAATCAGTGCGAAGAACTTTTATCGGGCTACCAACTTCTTTCTCAACAAGCATTTTATAATTTTTAAATGCCGTGAAAGCTTCAGATTTCTCCTGTAACAAATAAACCCACGTTTTCCGACTATAATCATCAATGAACATAATGAAGTATCGTTTACCTCCATTAGATGTTGGATTTATGGGACCACAAAGATCGGAATGAACTAGTTCCAATTCCTTCTTTGTTCTCCAAGAATTCATTTTTGGAAATGAATCACGATGGTGTTTGCTAATAACACAATCTTCACAAACTGACGAAGGATATTGAATTTGAGGAATGCCCGTCACCATATTTTTCTGCTGTAAAGTCTTCAAGCCATTGAAATTCAGGTGTCCATAGCGGAAATGCCACAACCATGTTGAATCATGCATTTTTACAGAGAGGCAGGTCTGAACCTTGTTCTGAGTGTGTAATGGAAACATCCAATTTGTTGTCATGTGAACTTGTGCGATTAGGCCCTTCTCTAGATGTTGAATTTGGCAACATCCACCTTGAATGTTTATTGTAAATCCCTTCTCTTGTAACTGGCCCAGGCTAATGAGGTTACTCTTTAAGTCTGGAATATAAAAAACACTAGAAATTGTCTGTATAGTGGTATTTCCTGTTTGAATTTTGATAGTCCCTTTCCCCATGACCAAAATGTTAGAATTGTTTTCAAGTTTCACAGTTTCTCTGAAAGTTTCATCCAAATCTGAAAATAGAGACTTATTACCACACATGTGATTACTACAGCCTGAGTCCAGATACCACGTAACTAATTGAGACCCCTTCTTGTCAATGTATGCCATCAAGAGCATTTCTTCTTCTGTCTCAGCAAAGTTTGTCTTCTC